AATTATTTAATTAAATTATTTTTGGAATAATTGTGAAGAAGTATTATTAAATTGGATTTATTTTATTAAATGGAGAAATAATAATATATTTGAGGTATTATATTATTATGAGAAATAATGTTAGAAGCTAATATTATTTAATGTGGGCCTTGATTGTGTGAGTATAAGTAATAAGGGGGTGTAAGTTGGAGCCCATTAAGGAATAATCTAATAATATTAGGTTATTTTATTATGTGTTGTTAGAATAGAGAGAAGAAACAGTAGAAGGAAAAATAAGGATTGTGGAAACGTGAAGCTGCTGGTTTTGAAGGAAACGACAAGAACGAAGAATTCAACCCAGAAATTGTAGAGCAACCTTCGATCCAAGGTAAGGGTGAGGTTCTGGCTTTATAATGGGGTTAATGATATTTGATATGTGGGATTAGAGGATTGCTGTTTTGTTATTGAATTGAATGATGTATGATGATGATTGATGATTTCTTGATGGATAAATGATGATATGATGCTGTGTAAACGATGTAGTATTAAATGTTAATGATTAGGTGATGAATTATCATGGTTAGGATGAGGTTTATAGGACTGTGATTATATTCTAGTAGTGAAAATACATTAGAAATACAGAAAATTATGCAGAAAATTGCAGGATGCGTCGACCTCAAACTAGATGAGTCGATGCATGGCGGATGTTTGACTCAGGATGAGTCGATGCATGCTTGCGTCGATGCATGTTAAGTGTAAGGCTCAGGATGAGTCGACGCGAAGGGAGGATGCATCGATACATGAGTGTGTGAGACTCATGATGAGTCGACCAGTGCGATGCATGTGTCAATACATGCTGTATTGAAAGCTAGAATGAGTCGATCCATAGAGGGATGCGTCGACTCATAGCTTGAAGAAGAAGCAAGATGAGTCGATGCATAGTGTTTTGTGTTGATGCATACTGAATAATTTTGACAGGATCAGTTTTAAGTTGTTGTAACTTGAGTTTTAGGATGCTGTTTGAGATGCCGTTCAAAGCGTTGATTAGCTAACGCGATGAACTTTATTTTAGATGATTAAAATGATGATTAAGAGGTATAATTCCAGTAACTAATTTAGGATTTAGAATTAATTCCCGTAGATGACAGTTATGCTGGATTTTTGACAGAATGATTTTTGAGATGTTAGAGGTTGCTGTTAGAGATATGACAGTAGGACTTAGTGATAATAGTGATGTACAATAGCAGAATAACAGTATGGATTACTGTATTATTGATATACAGCTGAGTTATTAGTAAGATGTGGTTAACCAAATGATGTTTGATAAATAAGTAATGTTTACTAAATTATTTTGAGATGTTTATGAGATGTTATTGTTCTGAGATGTTTATGAGATGTTGTTGTTTGAGATGACTGAAATATTGTCGTTTTGATGATTAAGATGTTGCTGTTTGAGATGACTGAAATATTGTCGTTTTGATGATTAAGATGTTGCTGTTTGAGATGACTGAAATATTGTCGTTTTGATGATTAAGATGTTGTTGTTTGAGATGTATTTTGAGATGTTGTTAACTGAGTGTGTTATTACATTCATGTTAAGTCGCATACATTGCATTTTTGAGATGTAGCTTATACTCGTTGAGATGGCCTGGATTGGCAAATTTTGAGATGAAGGCTATGCCTTATTGATGCCTCTATTAATTGGCAGATTAGATTTTTGAGATGGGAGTTCTGCTCCAATGGTACCACATGCATTTGCATAATTTTGAGTCGCATCATATGAATGAATAATGAGATGTATTTGATGTTGATGAATGAGTATATATGTTGTAATTGTTGTTGATTATGAGATGAGAAGTGGTGATATTATTGATCTAATTTAATATATTAATTATTATGCGCTTTATTATATTGTTAGATATCTCACCCCTTCTGTTTGAATGTTGCCCCTATGTTGGTAACGTGCAGGTAATCGAGAGTGAAGGCCGTATATCTTCAATAGATCGAGTCGGTGTCATTGCTCTGATATGTAACACTCGGGGGGATGAACGCTTGCTGATTTTAGATTGCTGATTTTTAGTTGTTGAACCTTAAATTGTTTATTTATTAAACACGAGATGTTTCGAAGTTGTTATTTTATTTAGAGATGTTATTGAAGAATTCCGCTGCGTAGTTGTTGAATATTTAATGAAAGATGTTATGTTGTTAGTTCATCCGACGTTTTGAATAAGTGTTATATATCCATGATGTATGCAATGAATTTGTTAGAAGAATTTGTGACGTCCCGATTCATTTGTATGATTGAAATTTTATAACTCTGATTTATTTTGCATAAATTGCTTGGGGTAGAATTGGGGTGGTACAACTCCTCCCTTGGGGAGTTTTCTGAAACATGGTTATTTGCGATTTTTTTAATACCTGGTTATTCCAAAAAAAAATTCTAAATGAGCTGCTATTCTTAGGCCTAGACGTCATATTTTTATAATTTAAAAGAAAAAATAATTCATAAAAATATTATTAAAAATAATAATTTAAGAAAACATAAATAAATATTAATAAAAAAATTATATATATATATATATATATATATATATATATATATATATATATATATATATATATATATATATATATATATATATATATATATATATATATATATATATATATATATATATATATATATATATATATATATATATATATATATATATATATATATATATATATATATATATATATATATATATATATATATATATATATATATATATATATATATATATAAAATAAAAATTAAATTAAAAAATAAATGTAATTCATATGGATTTTAAAATTAAAACAAAAACAAAATAAAAATTCAACTGGACTGCCATGTCATCGAAAAATAAAATATTTTTTAAGGGGGATAAATTAAAACTCGCTACAATGACAACTGGGTAACGTATATTTAACTCAAATATAAAATAAATAAATACATATATATTTTTAAAATATTTTAATAATTTTATTTATATATATTGAATTTATATATTTAAGTAATTTGTATATTTAAAAAATTTAATATAATTTTATTTGCATTTATTTATATAATAAATATGTTTTATATGTTTTATATGTTTTTTAAAATATATATCAAATATAATTTAATTTTATCTCTTTTTATCTTATCTCTTTTTTTATTTAATTTTTTATTTTAAAATTAAATATTAAATCAAATAAAATATTTAAATTTTAGTATGCTTTATTGTAAAATATATGATAAAAAAGTATTATATCATCTATTTTTAAAAAATTAAAAGAATCATAAATTATTTTAGAGACACTAATTAAAAAATAATCAAAATATATTTTATTTTAGGGACACAGAAATTATTATAAGATAAATATAAATAATATTCTATAAAGTTTATAAAAATAATATATATGAGCAAATTATTGCATCTTGAAAAACGATTCATTGAGATTTAATGAAAGGTTAATTATCTGTTTTATAATATATTTTATTAAAAAAAAAAAATTATTGTGAGTAAATTAGTATGATAATTTTTGAAATAAACAAAATTAATAATTAAATATAGATTATTGTATTTTTTTATTTATTTTCGAACTCACGACCTTTTGACATTTTAAAAATTGAAGATGGATTTTGAGGGATACGACGTAAAAAAATAAATGATGTAGTACAAAAGAAGTTGAAATGTCGTAAGATAGTTTTTTTTTAACAAGTGTCAGAAGATAGTTTGATGCACTAGATTTAATAATATAAATAGAAAATTAGTCAAAAACATTACCACTATATATAATTTATTCCAAAAATATAACTGTTGCCAAAATACAAATAAAAATAAACTATTGTGTATATATAACCCTCTGTTTCTCTTTTGTCGTCTGCACTGCAAGACATTATGTGTCTCGACTAATACCGCTTGTACTGCGTAAAAATATGTGATTGCCAAAAATGAAGAAAATCCCCTATGATTCCCTAAACACCAACAAATATTAAAAGAAAAATCCCCTATGATAGCCACCTATTTTGTCTATACAAACTATCTATTTTGAATGTAACTACAATCTAATGCATTTTAAATAACCTACTTTATTTAATACATGTATCACAACTCAAAAACAGAAAAGAAATGAGAAATTTATCGATTGAGAGATTTTGTGTGAAAGTTTGCATGAAGTGAATGAAATGTCGTGAGATTGATTGCAATGAGGTAGAAGTAGTGTTGAAGTTTGAAAATCGTCACACTTAAATCTTAGTCACAAGTTCTTTGAAGGATATGTGAAAGTATAACAAATGAACATGAATTATTTTAATTAAAAATCGTCTAGAGATGCATCTTTATAAAATTTATTAAATGTAAAACTGAATTTTGAAATAAAGATTATAGCAAACGTGTATCTCCAAACAGTTTTTTAGATTCTAGGGATGCATGTGCGGAATTTTAGAAAATTTATGACTTTTTATTATGGTAAACTAACACTACATAGGATGGATAAAAATGTGCCATAGGTATTCTCCATATCTACCGGTAAGCTATAAACGTGCTCGAATGCCGTTTGGTGTTGGCAAACAATGTGCTTAAACCCCAACTACCACATATTTTCATTTTTGTTTAGAAAACCAATCACTAAAATCACATATCATAACATCATCGTGATTCATATAAATGTTTTCTAAATCTTTCAATAGGAATCTAGAAATACAACCTCCATTCGATCTACCAATGTAAAAAAATAAAAATACTATTTAAAAAGTACTACATTACATGTATCAGCCACTTCCACCAATCAAAACCAACTAACATTAACTTATGAAGAAACTTTTTTATGTGGAGTACTATGATACTGAGTCTAGTTGGGTTCAAATTGAGACCAATCAATAGCATGATACCAACCTTTGTATATTTGACATTTTTCAACAACAAGTCAATCTTTCCTTTTTCTAAACAGCTTAAGATTTTCTATTTATATGTTCATACATACATACCTTACATATGCATTTTTCGACAACAATGTCGTCTTCTTCTTCATGGCTTACTTCTCCTTCATGCACTCTTTTTCCTATAGATTCATCTTCCTCTACACCAAACCCCATTCTTCAATGGTTAACCTTTCTTTTTCTATCTCCATGTCCTCAAAGACTTGTTCTTTCTGCTCTTGATTTCTTGTTTTTGCTCTCTCTCTTGGCTTTAGCAGCTCACAAACTCTATTCAACTTCCAACTCTACCTCCTCGATCACAAAACCACTTCTGCAGGAGAAAGATTCTGACTATAGAATCACCTTTTGGTTCAAACTACCCTTGTTGGTTACTACCCTTTTGGCTATAACTTACACTGTTCTAGGAGTCTTGGCTTTTACGCAAACCAATAATGTTACTTCATGGAAACAAATAGAAGCGCTTTTTCGGTTGTTTCAAGCAATAGTCAACATAGTGATACTGATTCTAATGATACATGAGAAAAAGTTCAAATCTTTCAAACACCCTTTATCATTAAGAATCTATTGGGTAGCAAACTTTGTGATTGCTACTTTGTTTGCTGCTTCCGCTATTGTTCGAATTGTAACTGTAAGCGAAGAAAAAATGGAACTTAGTTTGAGAATAGATGACATATTCTCACTGGTAAATCTTCCATTATCTGTGTTCTTTTTTGTGATATCCATAAAAGGGTCATCAGGGATTCATGTCATAAGAATATCTGATGAAGTAGCAATATATCCATCGATTTCTAGGGATAGAACTTTGAGTCCTTATGCTTGTTCTTCATTTTTGTCCAAATCAGTTTGGTTTTGGATAATCCCTTTGCTTAATAAAGGTTACAAAACACCCCTTAACCTAGAAGATGTTCCTTCACTTCCTCTTGAGTTTAGAGCAGAAAAAATCTCTGAACTTTTTCAAAACAATTGGCCAAAACCAGATGAAAACAGTAAGCATCCCGTTGGACTAACCCTTTTCAGGTGTTTTTGGAAACATTTAGCTTTCACTGGTTTCCTTGCAAGCATTAGGCTTTGTCTTATATATGTCGGTCCATTGTTGATTCAGAGTTTTATTGGTTTCACATCCAAGAAAGACAGTACTGCTGGTGAAGGTATTTTTCTGATATTGATCCTTTTTACAGCAAAATCGGTTGAAGTACTTAGTGTCCATCACTACAACTTCCACTCTCAGAAACTCGGTATGCTTATTCGTTCGAGCATAATCACTTCGGTTTACAAAAAGGGTTTAAGGTTGTCAAGTTCTTCAAGACAAACTCATGGAACGGGACAGATTGTGAATCACATGGCTGTCGACGCTCAACAACTCTCAGATATGATGATGCAGTTTCATCCTATATGGTTGATGCCCTTGCAAGTTACTGCTGCACTGGCTCTTATATATAGCTATATTGGAGTATCTGCTCTTGCTGCATTTCTTGGAACTGCCGTAGTTTTTCTTTTCACAACTTATCGAACTAAGAGTAGTAATAGTTTCCAGGTTCAGATAATGAAAAGCCGCGATTTGAGACTGAAGGCGACGAGTGAATTGCTTAACAATATGCGTGTGATTAAATTTCAAGCGTGGGAAGAGTATTTCGGTAACAAAATTCAAGAGTTTCGTGAAGCCGAGCATGGATGGATTGGGAAATTCTTATACAATTTTGCTGTTAACTTTGGAGTATTGTCTGCTGCAACATTAGTTGTAACTGTTCTTACCTTTGGAACTGCAACTTTTATTGGAATTCGTTTGAATCCTGGCACTTTTTTCCCAATAATTTCGATTATCAAGATACTTCAAGAGCCTTTGAGGACTTTTCCTCAGGCTCTTATGATGGTTTCTCAAGCAACAATATCTTTAGGGAGGTTGGATGAGTTCATGACGAGCGAGGAAATGGATGAGAATGCAGTGCAAAAAGAACAGAACTGTGACGATGATGTAGCAGTGGAGATAAAAGATGGGAAATTCTCATGGGATGATAACGATGAGAATGATGGTTTGAGAGTTGATGAGTTGGAAATTAAGAAAGGGAATCATGCTGCTGTTGTAGGAACTGTTGGTTCAGGCAAGTCTTCATTATTGGCTTCTTTGTTGGGAGAAATGTTCAAGATCTCAGGAAAGGTGTACATATGCTTGCTTTTAACTCTTCTTCTATGTGTAATATTTTTCTTACAAGAATTCATGATTGTGCTTTTCAAATTAATACAAAGTTTACTATTGATATGTGAATGTTGTTCTGTGAAAATTTACTTCTGTCTTTAACATTTGTCATTATTACTTATAAAATCTTACAGGTTAGAGTTTGTGGGACAACGGCGTATGTAGCACAAACATCATGGATTCAGAATGCAACCATCAAAGAAAACATATTGTTTGGTTTACCAATGAACATGGACAAGTACATGGAAGCTTTAAGAGTGTGCTGTCTTGAGAAGGATCTTGAAATGATGGAATATGGTGATGAGACCGAGATTGGAGAGCGCGGAATAAACCTCAGCGGAGGTCAGAAACAACGCATACAGCTTGCTAGAGCTGTATATCAGGACACTGACATCTATCTCCTTGATGATGTATTCAGTGCTGTTGATGCTCAAACAGGATCTTTTATTTTTAAGGTAAGCACAAAGCTAAAATTTCTAGTTTTTCAGATTACAAACAATACATTATAGTATCAATCAAGATAATATTGGTTTCCAATATAAATGAATTGTCATTATAAATTTCTAATACAAATCACAAGTGATTCTCCATCTTTTTGCAGGAATGTATTATGGGAACTCTCAAAGATAAGACAGTTTTACTTGTAACCCACCAAGTTGATTTCTTGCATAATGTTGACTCTATAATGGTATGCATATGTTCACAAGTCCCTAAAGTTTTTCTGTAAATGGAAGTTAAAGTCAATAGGGAATGTACTCATTCATGATATAGTATTAAGTCTTATACTTTGATACAATCTTTGAAGGTAATGCGTGAAGGGAGAGTAGTGCAAAGTGGAAAGTATGACGAACTTCTCAAAGCAGGCCTAGATTTTGGTGCACTTGTGGCAGCTCATGAATCCTCAATGGAAATAGAAGAAACAGGTGACAAGACTAGTGATGATTCAGCTCAAACTCCAAAACTTGCTCGCATTGCATTGAAAGAAAAAGAAAGTGGCGGTGAAAAGCAGTTTTCTCAAGATCAATCTAATAAAACTGCAGCAAAGCTCATTGAAGATGAGGGAAGAGAAACTGGACATGTGAGCCTTAAAGTATACAAGCAATATTTCACAGAAGCATTTGGATGGTGGGGAATAGCACTTGTAGTAGCAATGTCAGCGGGTTGGGTGTTGTCATTTTTAGCTGGGGACTATTGGCTTGCAATTGCAACTTCAGATGATTCTGGCATTCTTTCATTTACTTTCATTTTCGTCTATGCTGCTATAGCTGTTGTTGCATGCATAGTTCTTATAGGAAGAGCTTTCATGTATACATATTTGGGTCTAAAGACATCTCAAAGCTTCTTCATTGGAATGCTTCAAAGTATCCTTCATGCACCAATGTCATTCTTTGATACTACTCCTTCTGGCAGAATTTTGAGTCGTGTGAGTTTCATTCAACATCCGATTTTATTGTTTGGTTTATGCTTTAGTGTTTGCACTTGCTAACTCTACTCTTGTTATGAATTGTTTAGGCATCTACTGATATACTTTGGGTGGATATAACGATTCCAATGTTTACAAACTTTGTAATGATTGCATACTTATCATTATTCAGTATCCTCATTGTCACATGCCAGAACTCTTGGGTGACTGTCTTTCTCGTAATTCCACTGGTCTGGCTCTACAACTGGTATAGGGTATGATAACTCCTATAGTAATATTATCTTGCAACTTGGTCCTATTTTGATAGTTACATTGTTCTGGTTTGCAGAAATATTATCTTGCAACTTCTAGGGAATTGACTCGTCTTGATTCAATCACAAAAGCTCCAGTGATTCATCACTTTTCAGAGACACTTTCCGGTGTTATGACAATCCGTAGCTTAAGAAAGCAGAATGAATTTTGTGATGAAAATATTGACAGGGTGAATGCAAGTCTAAGAATGGATTTCCATAACAACGGAGCAAATGAATGGCTTGGTTTTCGCTTGGACTATATGGGAGTGGTTTTCCTTTGTACTGCCACTTCTTTTATGATCTTTTTTCCAAGTACTATTGTTAAACCAGGTAGAATCCCTTTTATCATCTTTTCATTTAACCACCATCATAGTCGATCACTATTTCACGCCGAATTTTTAAAATGCCGCCGTGGCAATGGTTTCGATCGCATTATTGAGACTTGCAGTCTAATTCGGCCAATGCAGCATAGAGATATTAAAAAATCTTAATGCCCTGGTTCAAAAGATTGCAGTCGCTGAGTATTTTAAAAAGCCTATTTCACACATTATAAACAAGAACTAAGGCTTTGTTTGGTTGAACAACTTAATTTTGCAGAATATGTTGGTATGTCTCTATCCTATGGTCTGTCTCTGAGTGGTCTTTTGTCATTTGCCATAACTATGAGTTGCAATGTTGAGAACAAAATGGTTTCAGTTGAAAGGATAAAACAGTTTACTAACCTCCCACCAGAAGCTCCATGGAAAATAGCTGACAAGTCTGTTCCTCAAAATTGGCCTAGTCATGGAACTATAGAGTTAAATAATTTACAGGTACATATTGCAATCACAATGACCAAGTACATATATATTGTTTGCAAGATTAGACAATTTAATATATTAAAATGGTGCGAGCAGGTTAGGTACAGGCCAAATACTCCTCTAGTTCTTAAGGGAGTCTCTCTAACCATTCAAGGTGGAGAAAAAGTTGGCGTTGTTGGGCGTACAGGAAGTGGAAAATCAACACTCATTCAAGTTTTATTTAGGTTGATTGAGCCTTCTGCCGGAAATATAATCATTGATGGTATCGATATTTCGACTGTTGGCCTTCATGATTTGAGGTCACGTTTTGGAATTATTCCACAAGATCCCGTCCTCTTTCAAGGGACAGTAAGAACCAACATTGACCCTCTTGGATTGTATTCTGAAGATGAAATTTGGAAGGTACATATATAGATATTTCATGTATGAGGGAACTTCAGTTAACAATTGTAGCATCTCGTAACTAAAACTTACTGTTAATTAATTTTACTGCAGAGTCTTGAGCGGTGCCAATTGAAAGAAGTGGTGGCTGCAAAGCCCGAGAAACTTGAGGCTTTAGGTGATCATATACTCTCTTGTTTCCCTGAACTACTCCTAACTCATGTGATACGAAAATATGAGGTGAAATATGTTTTCTATTTTGTTAGTGGTTGACGGTGGAGACAATTGGAGTGTTGGACAAAGGCAGCTTCTATGTTTGGGAAGGATAATGCTAAAACGCAGCAAAATATTATTCATGGATGAAGCAACAGCATCGGTTGATTCACAAACAGATGTTGTAATACAAAAGATCATCAGAGTGGATTTTGCAGATCGTACAATAATTAGCATTGCTCACAGAATACCAACAGTTATGGATTGTGACAAGGTTTTGGTCATAGATGCAGGTATGCGCTTTATGCTATTAATAAAGAAATGCATAGATATTTATATTGGTGTACTAGTACTGAATGAATTTGTGGGATATTTTGTGGCAGGTTTGGCAAAGGAGTACGAGAAACCATCACATTTGGTTGAAAGGGCATCACTTTTTGGTGCATTGGTTAAAGAGTATTCCAATAGATCAACTTAGTTGTTTTTCACTTATTATGAATTGGTGATAGGATTTCAATTAAGTAGTCTTTTCCTTTATTTTGTTGCTTTCCTATTTTGTTATTTTATGTGAGGTGTCATATCTACTACATTTGCTAGCATATGATTAAGTAATTTCCTTGGCATTTAATTGGTTGGCTTGTAACCAGTGAGTCCATTTATATCCATTGAAGCTCATGAATAAAATAACACAATTTTCATTGAAACAACTTTTTCTTCTTCTTCTTCCTCTCTTCATTTACAATCTACATATTGTAATTCAACCTCATCAGGTGTCATTCACCTATTGTTACCTCTGGCTTAGAATCCGAGTATTACCGATATCTCCCTAATATCCAGCAATTGGTATCATTCTGGTGAGCATGGAATCATCACCGTTCCGTGTTAAAGACCATATTGCTCAATTTTAACTTCAGCGCAACGCAAACATGGAGGAAATATGCGCGTTACTCCGAACACAAGAAAAACAGAGTTCTCTGGTGTCAAATGCTAGGAAAGGTTCTAACCACACCCGTAACGCCAACCAGAATGGATCAAATTTGATGCATTTGTGAAGCATAAGAGCAAAACAGATATTAGTTGATGGATTAAACAATTTTGGAATCAATTGTGATGTAGCTTGTGAAGCATAAAGAATGAAGCCAAAAGATGAAAAAAAGACCAAACTTAAATTGATGCACTAATGAAGTATAAAGGGATAACTTGATGTATTTAACAGGAATTTTTCAAAATTGGCCATAACATGCTGCTGCTACTTATAAATAATATACTGCTACAACTTATAAATAACCTTGCATGCTGCTACATAGCCTTGCATGCTGCAATATAACCTTTCATGCTGCAACATAACCTTGCATGATGCTGCTATTATATAATTGCCTAATATAATGTAATATACAAAAACTGTAACTTAAATAGACTTGTTGATAGAAGAACTGCTAACTACTATTTATAAAAGAACATACTGCTGCCTAAATAGTGTAATATACAATGTGACACAAAATAATAACATTCTAAAATACCAAAATAGCATGAACTATATAATTACAATCATGGAGAAAACACAAAATAATTACATCTTTCAAAACACCAAATTAGCGTGAACTAATTAATTACAATTCTCAATTCACCAAGTGATAAATATTGTACAATATCGTTGATATAACAAAAGTGTAACTTAGTGATTAATTAGCCCTTAATCATGGTAATGTTTCAATATCAGTTTTATTTAGGGGCGCCTACATGTTTACAAAACTAATTAACATCGAGATAAAGGTAGATTTACTGAAGATTCATTTTCAAATACAAATGAAATTACCATAAAAAATGTTGTGAAGCTAAATTGATTCTTTTGTGTTTGTGGAGACTCATAAGGTAAAGGTGTGAAACAAGATAATTCATCACTCATTTGACTTGTTAATGTTTTTTTTCTAAAATGAATAGATAAAATCAAAATCTATAATAGTACATATAAAACTAAATTAAGAATTTACACATCGACTTAAATACCTGATATACTTGCACTGCATGGTTTCCCTTTAGGGGCCCTTTTTTTGTAGAACGTTGCATCTCAACCCAACTCTTAAGCCATTTTTGTGTCTTTAAGTCATGTCTTTGTTTGAATCTCTTTAGTTGCATAACATCATGATATTGAATTGTTGAATCATCAATGTTATGGTTGTATTGTTCTTGGATTGTATGCGAAGTTCCATGATTTTCTTAAATATGATTTCTACACTATCATCAACAAACTCGAGATGCTCTTTGTTGGATGATGTCTCAGTCTTTACTCTAATGAATTAGAGATAACTCGTCTATATTTTCGTGTTGTACATAGCTATGGATCCTCTTCAACCTCTTTTTACCTACAATCTTGCACAGTGTTGTAACGAATCTTGTCCACCTTCTTAAAATATACTTCTCATGAATAAAATTAACGATGACGACAATCAACAATGAGTGTGGTGACGTTGGCGATGAAAGTGAATAGCAATGACAACGACTAACGACAACGGCGAAGATCAACAATGAGTATGGTGGTGATGACGGCCCTCACATGCGATGTTGACGGTGACGATGAAGATCAACACTAAAAGAATAAGACACAGTTAAGTTGTTTCTAAATAGAGCTTGTTTCTTGTTCTACACTTTTGTTTTAATTTTTTTTGTTAAAATAAATTTTCTACATGGCAATGATAAGTACAAATTGTAGTTATTTTTTTATATGCTTTTTGTTGCACTTATCGATTTTTTGTTGTAAATATCGTTGAATAAATCTGACTTTTGTGTAAATATATTTAATTTGTGTTTATTTGTGTTTTTGTGTACATATTGTACCGTTTGATGTTTTTCCATTCATTTTATAGGTATTGATGCGTATTTGGAACATGAGCAATAAAGTGTTGAAGACGCGGCTTCAAACGTGTGATTTTAAGCAACTCGTCAACGAATAAGGCTCAAAATCAAAGAATAAGAAATCATCAATTTGGTTGATATTTAGACATTGTTAGATAGATAATTGAATAAGTTTTCCAACACTTCGAACTAGGCGTAAATCAGAGTTACGGTTCTCAAGTTATGGCGAAAACAAAAAGATACTTTTTTTCTCATGACAGTATAGCGCGCTTAGCGGAATTGTGCCGCTTAGCGCGGTCTCCTGGACAGAATTGCATTAAAAGGGCCAAAATACACATTTTTTAGGTTATGTTTTGGGCTATTTGTTCCCAACTCCTCAAACCTTCATATTTTTGATAGATTAGCTTAGAAAACAACATTAGGGTCTTGCTTATGGATGATTGGAGGTGGATTTCTCTTCGACCGACGCTGACAAACCAGAAGATTTGTGGTTTATCTCTTTTCCACTCTTTGTATTTCTCTTTTGTTGGGTATTATTTGTATATTTAATTTGAACATATGTATATTTGTTGATCATGGTATTGTATAAAGCTTGCTTTACAAATCAATATTGATGTCTTCTTTGATCTTTTTGCTTTATATTTGGATTTGGATTGTTATAGACATATACCTCACACATATTGATTAGGGATGACTATCTATTAGTTTCTAGATTTTAGAGATAAATTTAGAGCTAATATTCACTTTGGATGCTAAAGCTTAATGCCTCCGTGTTGTTGTAGCGTGCAAGACATTTTCGATAGAGTAATACAGTTGGTCTCACGACTTGGCGTTAGACATAACCTTCATTGTGGGTGCATCTCGTGGTGTCCGTGATAATTTTGACGAGTACAATAGGTTGAATGCAACTGATCGATAGATTTAAGTTTGGGACGAGTAGTGTACATTCATATCGGATAAGTTGTCTATCCTTTATAATTTTTGTTTACATTTATTTTTTGTTGACACCTTTTCCATACAACCCATTCAACTCTCAAACTCATTAACGATAGATTTGTCGAACGGAGAATCAATAACCAATCTCTATGGACACGATACTATATAACCTATATCACCCACTAAATTAATAACTTACTTTTTGCTTACCGCTTTATAGCAGCAACAAAATGACGCTATTGTCGGGGATTGATATTTATTGTTTTGCATTGCGATAGTTTCTTTGTTTTTGAGTTTTTTAATTAATATATATGTTGTATAGAAATTGCACATGAATTTGTATATGATTATCATATTTGTGAATTTTACATGTTTTACATACTTGTGCATATATGTGTTTTTCTTTGTTTTCACGTATTGTTGTGAATTGTCTCATTTTTGTAATATTTTTTGTGTGGTTGTTAGGACACTTTCTTTAGGTTTGTGCAGTGTGACAATACTATGGCATGATGAGAGGAAGTTACTAGCTCGCACAATAAATACGTCGAACTTACGACGTAAAACAAACATGTCTTATTTGTATTCCTTTATGTATGTGTTGACTTGTATTTTAACAAGTTGAAATTGAACCTGTTTTAAATTCTCAAATTTTCACTTTTCAACTTGTTAATTCACTTTCTCCCGTTTGTTTCGTTATGTTAATTTGTGTTTTTCCAAAAGCTTGTCGTGTTTAGCTTGTGGAAGTGTATTTATATGTTGTAAATATTTTACATGTATTTGAGATTGTGTAGGTGAATGTGGAGGTTGCACTGCTGTCTACTGGACTAGTTTTTGCTGTTCTGGTGTAGCGTGCTTAACGCATTTAACCGCACTTAGCGCGCTCTGCTGTGCAGTGTCAGTGAATTCTTTTTAATCTTTCTCTTGGTTTTTCTTTTTTCCCACTTCCACCTAGGCTTTAAATAGTAAATAATATTAATATATTTAATTCTTTTGTTGTTGTTTGGAATCAAATTTTGGTCCGATAGCTTGAACTCGCATTTGGTGATTTTCCAAATTTGAGTGTTTCAACTTGCGAATGCGTGGTAATGATTGTGTTAAAATTTTGTACACGTTCGAGGTATGTGTTTATCGTTTTCTATACTTTAGCATATTTATGATACTTAGACTTTTTATAATTTTTATGTCATTCATTTTTTTGTATACTTGTTCATTTGTGAATCACTTTAGTTCCTACCCTTTTTGTGAGGTAGCTTTCCATTGTTCACATATGCTGGAGACCACAACTCTTGTTTTAACTGGATTTTATTATGCTTAATCTTTTGTTTGTATTGATTGTATAAAAGCATGAACATGATCGAGATATTTTTTGTTCCATTTTGAGCACAACTACCTTGGCTAAATAGTCAATTTACCTTGTGAGTGTGTGATCATTAGTAACTATTTCTAACCATTTTTATCGATATCCATATTGTTTTTGCTAAATGCTTGTCTATGAGTGTTTGATTCATCTTTTTGTATGGATATTGATTCTTTGTTTTCTTGAACCTTTAACTATGAGTTGTAGTTTAAATTTTTGCCTTACCTTAGAAAGTATGGAGTATTCATATTATGATATGGTTGAATTCAAGTTGGGGAGATATTTATTTGCTCACTTATGTTGTTGATTGCTATGAGGTTGAGAAAGAGAAA